ACTGGGCCTCCCCCTCTTCCCCCTATATAGGGGGAAGAGGGGGAGGCCCAGTGATGATGTCACTTCCCCCTTTTATAGCATCTTCCATGTGGAGGGAACTTCATTGACCCAAACAAAGCCTCCAGCAGTTTGTGGAAAAGCACAGGCAGCAAAATGGATCCAATATCACATGATTTAGTCACATGTACTTGCATGCTTCAGTGAGTCATGGCAGCTGTTACCCATATTTTGACTGAAGCATCCACAAGAAAGCTTAGCTGGTGAGGATGAGCTTTTCCCCTGGCTCATTGTTTTCGCTGATGGGCCATTACCTTGGGTAGCCCCTTCACAATGTGCTCGCTAGAGTGGATGAAAACTACTTTGTGGGTGTTACCCAGGAGCAAACACATTTGAAATATAGATGCGGAGTCAATATGCACAACTAGTTCTTTTAGATCCAGTTTTCCAGCTATTTCATACTCTTTCGACATTGTGGCAAGTCCAACAAGTCTCTCTTGCACCATTGTTGAACGCAGATATGTTTTTATCAATTTTAACTTTGAGAAGCTATGTTCCCCACTAGCTACGGAAACTGGCAAAGTTAAAAGAATGCGTAGAGCTATAAAAATGTTTGGAAAACTGTCTGTGAGTTTCAGAGTAGTAGCAGTGTTAGTCTGTATCCGCAAAAAGAACAGGAGAACTTGTGGCACCTTAGAGACTAACAAATTTATTTGAGCATAAGCTTTCGTGGGCTACAGCCCACTTCATCAGATGCATAGAATGGAACATATAATAAGAAGATAGATATACATACAGAGAACATGAAAAAGTGGAAGTAGCCATACCAACTGTAAGAGGCTAATTAATTAAGATGAGCTGATATAAGAGCTGTGTGAATTACTTAGGATCCTGGCCCTCAAGATGTCGGTATAGCATCCACAAACCATTGGGCTGGTGGAGCATTTCAACAGCATCCTGAAATCCATGTTAAAAAAATTTGTCGGCAATGACCTGCGACACTGGAACAGGCTGCTACCAGCCTTGTTATTTGCCATACAGGAAGTTCCTCAAGCCTCTATGGGATTTTAGGGGATGAGAGCTAAGGAAGCATTGTTCTAAGTCAGCCATAAAAATGTTAGCATACTGTGGAGCCATGCGGGTACCAATAGCAGTGCCGCTGACTTGAAGGTATATATTGTCCCCAAATGTGAAATAGTTGTGGGTGAGGACAAAGTTACAAAGTTCAGCCATCAGGTTTGCCGTGACATTATCAGGGA